ATGATATTCCAGGGTAGGGAATGTCATAATGGAACCACGCGAGGTTTGGTCAACAGGTGCTTATGATGCACGTTGCAGAATTGATTGCTCGATAGTGAGTTTCCCTGCATATACTTGAGGGATAGTGATTTCTCTCTAGGGGATAGTGAATTTCCCTGCATATACTCTGAGGGATAGTGATTTCTCTTCAGGGGATAGTGAGTTTTCCTGCATGCCGATATCTTGATGGACTATGTGTTCCGAGAGTGGGAGGGGTATTGAGCAAACCGATAGGCTGACGGACGACGGTCCAGAAGGTGGGAGAGGTATGATATACACCGAGCTCAAGGGGTGACGACTCTGAGAGTGTGAGGGGTGTATATATATATGAGTGATAAGCAATAATGTCTGAACGTGATTATAAGTATGAGACTACATTAGCTTCAGGGATCAGTGGATGATCTCAGGTTGTGCTGGCCGTGTTGGTCAGGAGGATTACCATAGTGAGATGGTGTTGCGTGATTCGAGGTCGAATATGTATTAGTGGGGGAGAATTTTAACGATCGAGAACCAAATTTTGTGGACTTTGGTCGTGCATCGACTGACACAAGGGGTGTGTGTCGATCGATGCAGGTCGTTAATCGAACCGGGTGGGTTAGATTTGAGTCATCGATTCGGCTCGATTTAGGGAGAAACCCTAGGGCTTCCCTATATGAAGGGCTTGACCGTGTTTTTGGTCAAGTTTTAGTTTTCAAAAAGTTCGAGAGAGTTTCCAGAGAATTTGAGAAAATATTTGAGAGAAGAGGAAGAATCATTGTTGATTTCTTCGTGTTCTTGATCCTAAAAGCTCTTGTGTGTGTTTCTGAGGCTCTGGAGATCGTTTCTGGTGGTTTAGATTCGCGATTTAGGAGAGGATTTGGGTTTGGAGATTCGTGTTCTTCGTGGTCTTCGCGTTCTTGGTGTTTCTCATTCATTTTTCCTTCCGGATCCAAGGTGAGTGCGTGACCATGACTTATCTGGGTAAAGGATTGGTAGAATGTGATTGATTGCTGTGTTTGGATGTGATTTCGTGTCTGTGTGGATGAGTTTTCGTGCAGAGATCGATGAATCGCGTTCTGAATCGAATCGTGAGAGAATATGTTCGATTCGGGACTGCGATGATGTGTCGATCGACGCAAGAGTGTTGCATCGATTGACGCAGAAACCGTGTATCAGTCGACGTATGTGAGTTGCATCGGTCGACACGGAGATGTTGCATCGATCGACACAGATAAGTTGTGTCAATCGATGCACGTAGTCTGGGACGTGAATGTGTGTTAATGTTTGTGTTATGTTTGTTGCTTGATCACCCTGGT